GGGCTCTTTGTTTGTTATTTTGATCATCTTTGGCTGTAAGAACCCCTTTTCGATGGACCCACATTTCACCCCTGAGTCTCCAAGACCTTCAGACTGACCTTTGACTATCCAGACGGTGGTGGTTTCGATCACTCTCCATACAAAGACCAGGTCATCGCCACTGCCACCTCCAAGCAGGTAGTCCCCTCGTTTCACCAGATCTTCCTTCGCGGCATTGGCTGCAACTGGCTGGTGTGCCTGGCCATCATGCTCGGGATGCAGGCCAAGGACCTCAACTCCAAGAGTAAGTAGAGCCCCGGCTTCTTCATTACGCGGCTGTATCACTAATATTTTGGACAGTCATTGCCATGTGGTGGCCCATCTTCATCTTCGGTGCTGCTGGGCTCGAGCACGTCGTCGCCAACATGTCATTCATCCCCCTGGCCATCTTCCTCAACACCCCTGGTCTGTCCGTTGGCCTGTACATTTGGAAAGGTAGGAACACAAGTCTTGTATTGACATATTGTATCAAGCATAAACTAACATTTATCATCAGGTATCATTCCTTCATGCATCGGCAACATCATCGGCGGTGCATTGTTCTGCGGCGCCTACTTCTTCTGGTTCTTCATCTACAGGGAGGGCGAGATCATGGTGGACGGAACATACTACAACCAGCCCCAGCCACCAGCAACAGCAGCCAGTGATGCGGCCGAAAAGGGCCAAGGCGATATCAATATCAATATGCTGCATACAAACCCAAGCAGTGTGCAGATGGGAAAGCCAACGGCGACATTGTCTGACAGCGACACCAACTGAATCTCCTTTTGTGATTAGCTTATATAGATTGTGGCGAAGGCCCGACCCGTGCATTTGGAATATATTACATGGTTGGCAACTTACTCTATGGGAATGGCTTAGGCTAGACTCGTGACAAAGCAATGTGCATGCACCGAGATGCTATGGTACTCTCGTGTCGTCAGATATCAGCGAACCAAACCCAAACTTGATGTTGATGTTGTATGATACTACTTATAATGGCCCTCATGACACTCATAGACCCCTGCAATCGGACAGTTCAGCTGAGGTGCGCGAATCATACGAGCAGCCGGCAAGGAGGAGAATGGAACCACGTTCGGCACTCGGAGATGCACAGCTATCACCCAGTCTGTGTAACCCTCCTTTCAACTCTTCTTCCTGACCGAGTGAGGTCGCTTCGAGTTACTAAGCCGGGCCAGAACCTCGTGGTGGTTGCCTCCCAGCAGCGGTAGAGGGTTGGTAACGGCTCCCCATAGGCTGGTTGGGACAGGGCCCAATGTACCGGCCTGCATAAACCTCGCATCCGGGATTGCTAATTATTTGCTGACCACAGGGCCAAGTCCAGTACTGCATGGGACTATCAAAGAGGCTGCTGTATGTTCTCTGTTTAATGTATTTTATCCGGGTTTACATATAGTAGCCGAGATGGAACACCTCTGGAGCTTTACGACCTTGACCTTGGATCTTTGCCTTACGTCCTCATCTTCGCCCGCTGGCTGGTTATACAGTTCAGCTACTGACAAAAAGGATTGACTAGACACCTACATTGATTCGTTCGTGAACATGATTCTGAACATCATCGCTGCGGTGGGTTTCCTCGGCCACCTCGCCAGGGCAGAACCCCAGGGACCATATCCGGATGATCCCAGCCCCACAACAACGACGACAACGACGCGGACGACGACAACCTCGGCAACCTTGACTTTCACACCCGGTCCGGATTTTCCAACCTTCAATGGAACCGGGGCGACTATGCTTCGGTTCAGTTGCCACCAACTGGTGATTGACCGCATCGACCCTCTCGTCAACCCGGGATCTGTGCCTTCCCCCCACCAGCACCAGATTGTGGGAGGCGACGCCTTCAATGCCTCGATGCCCTACACCGACATTGCCGCTCTTTCGGCATGCACCACGTGCAGCTACAGCGACGACTTCTCCAACTATTGGACCTCGAACCTGTACTTTCAGGCACGCAACGGGTCCTACAAGCGTGTGCCGCAGGCGCCCAACGGCGCCAATGCCGAATTCTTCAATGACACCTTCTCGCCCTACGCCCAAGGCGGGCTCGTGGCCTACTATGTCTCGCCTGGACAGAACATGGTGACAGCCTTCCAGCCTGGATTCCGCATGTTCTTTGGCGACGCATCCCTCAGATCCAAGCCGTCGGGCCCTTGGGACCTGGGCAACCAGACCTGCTTCCGATGCTATAGCGGACCCAACTTTGAAGGCGACGTCGGTCCCCCCTGCTCGGATCCGGCCGTCGATACCATGCACCTGCCCAACAAGCCGTGCCACATGATCCGGTCAAACATTCTGTTTCCAACGTAAGTCTACTTCTTGAACGCTCTTCTCTTCGTTTTGAAGACGTTGCTGACGAGCATGATTATGCTGCACAAAGTTGCTGGGACGGTGTGAACCTCGACAGCGCCGACCACAAATCCCACGTAGCCTACCCCGAAGAAGGACCACACCCCTTCGACCTCCTCGGCATAGGCAAAACCTGCCCTCCTTCTCACCCAGTCAAGATTCCTCAGGTCATGTTTGAGATTGTCTGGGACACGACGGGGTTCAACGACCCTGACTTGTGGCCAGAGGATGGATCCCAGCCGTTTGTCCTCAGTACGGGCGACAAGACGGGCTACAGTCAGCATGCCGACTATGTGTTTGGCTGGAAGGGAGACGCCCTGCAAGTCGGCATGGAGGCCGGCTGCATCGCTGCCAACTGCCCTGGGATGAAGGTTCAGAGTGTTGAGAAGGCCGCCGAGTGCTTGGTGCCTGCGCTGGTCGGGGAGGATTACTCTGGGTGTAAGTTCTAAAATCTTGTCTTCGCTTCTTCGGTCTGAGTACTGACTCTCTGTAAAGGGCATAGCACACTCCCTGGAAACCCTCCGCAGCCTCCTGTCACGACTTCGACCACTGCATCACCGACCCCGACCCCGACTGGCAAGGGCAAGGGCAAAGGCAAGGGCAAAGGAAAGGGGAAGGGAAAGGACAATAGCTGAACTGGTCACCGTGACTTTGACCTAGATGCGATGTCCCGGTAGTCAGACCAGAAGGACTTGACATTTCTTAATATGCACTGTTTACAGACTTTTGAAGCGATATAACTACATATTACAGACGAAAATGCTTTGAATCACAAGCCAAAAATGGATACGTACTTCTTGAATCCAATTCAGGGGCTCGCACGGAGAACGCCGTTTTGCCAATGCAATTAACCAGCTTCGTACCTCGTTTGAAGAATATCATGCACTAAAATTATCCCACCACGCGCGATATTATTGGCTCAGTTTAATTGCATCCGGCTCACCGTTCAGGGGTCACCGCCAAACGGAGTCCGCGGATGGCCGAGCTAGCCATTCAGCCCCTGTCGATGACACGGCGTAATTTCCTCTCTTCAAAGCGCGGTCTTGGATCTCACAACGCGTCTCACCCTTTTTCTTCCCGTCGCATCGCTATTTCAACTCTGCACTTTTGCATCTTTTGCACCTTTTTATTCATTTGTATAGCTTCATTCATTTATTCTTCTCTTAACTTTTTTTTTTTCTTGGAGTCCCGCATTTGTTCACCATGGCAGACTCCGTGGCCTCCGGGTCATCTTCCTTTCCCATCCCGACGATTGACAGGCCATTTGGCATTCACCTATGGCCGCTGTTCAGTCAAGCGTTTGAGCTCTTCGCCGGGTATCCGGCCGACGAGTTCCGCTTCGTCGTCGGAGAGACGCCCATGTCGACGCTGAAATCGGCCTCCATCTTTGTCGTCATCTACTATGCCGTCATTTTCGGCGGTCGCGAGCTGATGCGCAACCGCGAGCCCATGAAGCTCAAGGGCTTGTTCCTCATCCACAACTACGTCCTCACCCTGGTCAGCGCCATTCTCCTGGCTCTGTATGTTGAGGAGTTGGTCCCCATCATCTACCGACGCGGTCTTTTCCATGCCATTTGCCATCGCGAGGGTGGCTGGACGCAACGTCTTGTTGTTCTCTACTATGTGAGTTTAGCATCTCAAGGAAATGATCCTATAGTTGCAGTACTTAAGCTAACTCTGTCCAGCTCACCTACCTGACCAAATACCTGGAACTCCTCGACACAGTCTTCCTCTTCCTCAAGAAGAAGCCTCTCACGTTCCTGCACTGCTACCACCACGGTGCAACTGCCGTGCTGTGCTACACCCAGCTCATCGGCCAGACGGCCGTCTCATGGGTGGTCATTGACCTGAACCTTCTCGTGCACGTGGTCATGTACTGGTACTACTTCCAGAGCGCGCGCGGCGTCAGGTTGTGGTGGAAGGAGTGGGTCACCCGCCTGCAGATCATCCAGTTCATCATCGACCTGGGCTTTGTGTACTTTGCCTCGTACACCTATTTCGCCTCGACTTACTTCCCCGACCTCCCCACCTGGAACGGCGAGGGCTGCGCGGGCGAGGAGTTTGCCGCCTCGTCGGGTATTGCCATCCTCAGCTCGTACCTGGTCTTGTTTGTCTTGTTCTACCTGGCAACCTACAAGAAGGACGGAAAGGCGCCCAGCACCAGAAAGACGCTGCGCAGAATGTCCAGGGCCGAGGCCCCCGGTCCGCATGTCGTTTCCGCCGCTGCTACCAACATCAAGGCCAGCGGTGTCGAGACTGAGAAGGGCATCCTGCCTCGCTCGAGGAAGGCGTAATGGGGCTGGATGGTCATGATGATGAGCTAGCTGCTTGCTATTAGCCACAGGCAGGTAGAGGGAATCTGGGGAACTGGATAGGGCTTGGTTGTATAATGCATGTACATATATATGATTAGACTTGTTAATGATAATACCTAATACGCAACCATGTCCAACATCACATGCTCTGAGACGACGGACGGTGATGGGTGGGGTGGGGTTGAACGATTCTGCAGCAAAAAGGGGCAAGTGGAGCTTGAAATCCACTACTTTACGGGGTATGCCAACAAGATTCATGAAGAAAGACCAAGGTCAAAAAATAGAAAAAGAAAGAATCAACGTCACCTGCAGGATTCGAACCTACGCTCCCGAAGGAACTGCCTAACTTGATAACTCTTGTGAAGGAGAGCAGCTAGCAGGGCAGCGCGTTAACCACTCCGCCAAAGTGACTGACTAATTGCTGATTTGATGAATTATCGTCAGTGGTCACTGTTCTTTGTCATGCGGTCCACATGCATAGGTGAGTCAGGCTGTGGGTCGGGTGGACATTGGCATAAAAGTTAAAACGATCATTGTGCAGCCCCTGAGGCATATCAAGGGGTGAGCATAAATCCCGGATAAACAAAACAAATGATTTGACATATTAAAAATCGAACATTGAGGATTAATACAGAGGACAAACAAGAGCATGCATAGCTGGAACGGGCTTCTTTGGTATAATCACTTCTATTACTCCTACTTCACTGTTCAGCGGTCAAGACTAGACTCGTCAAGAGTTTTCAACCGGTCAGGCTTCAATGTGTTTCAAGACAACTGCCTCGCCTGAGCAGTAACCTGGTCCTTCAAAGCCTGAGCCTCCCGCGGCGCATTCTTGAGCACCTTGTCCCGCAAATGATCAACCTGAAGCCCCGGGGCGGTCGGCGGGTTTCCCTGGGCAGTCTGGATCCTCGAGACTTGAAATTGGAGGTAGAACTTGGGCACCTTGATTGCCAGGTTCCCGCCTACTGATCGGATCCCCGCCTCGGTTGCCAGATAAACATCCAGCTGTCTCTGGAAAGTCGCCAGGTCGGTGGTGGCGAGTGGTGTCTTGGTTGCGAATCTTTCAAGGGCAAATTGCAAGGGTGTTTGGTTCGAGTTGGCAAAGTTGACCGAGGAGAAGGAGACACCGCCCGAGGAGACGTCGGGGACTCCGGAGAGGGTTCTTCGGCCTGGGTTGCAGGTTATGCGGTTGCGAATGTCCGAGACCACGTTTGAGACTTCCTGGGGGAGGATTTGATTGCCGATTACGAAGCAGGCTTGTGATTGCCGGTTGAAGAGGAGAGGGGCTGCGGTGCAGAAAGGTGTCTTGTTAGCATCATGGCGTTTTCTTCATGGGAGAATGGGGAAAGTACGTACAAGCAGAAGCGACGCCAGCGCCCAGAGCGAGAATGAAAGTGAACTTCATTTTGAAAGTAAATAATAGGATAAGGATTCGAAAGACGCAAGCGTCACTATTAACGAAGAGAAATTTAAACCCGAAAATGAACCAAAGAAACAAAAGAACGGAATGCAGATCAGATCGTCATTCTCTCCGGGTTCGAGCATGCACATCTTATATAGCACATCGGCAAGGACTGCCGCTCGTCTCTCGTGTTCGAGCTTCCCCCGAGATCGTCTCATCTTCCGTTCGTCTGTTCCAAAACCCTGGGTCAACAACCGTTGATGCTACCCTCGAGATCGGTCATGACCGTTTACGGACTAGCTTCGCCGTTTGAGAGTTCATATTAGGTTTAGTGGGATGAGAGCCTGAACAAGCGTCAAACAAGAAGGAGGCGGTTTCATCTTGTTCGCTTCCCCCATCCCGATCCGCATCGTGATGTGGGGGATCTCCCGAAACGGTGTTGCTTGGCCAACTTGCGAGTTGATGACACCGCGAACCGCTACATTCTCAAGTAAATTCTATTCTTCAAGGCTGACTTTGGCCAAAGCTGTAGCTCGTTCAGAGCTTGGATTCCCCCTTTTTACCATGATGATATTTGGTATAAATGGCCGGGAATACCCCCATCAACCTCTTCACATCACCCAGCTTGCTATATCCGTGAAAACTGAAGCGAATCCTCCCAAGACCACCAGACGCGTACAGTCCGACCTTGGCCAACTCCCCCACGATGGCGTCAGCATGGACCGTGTCGATACACACGCTGGCGCCGTGCCTTTCCTTTGGCCTTGGAGTTGATGGGGCGATACCAGCACGCTCCAGCTCCTCCAGCAGCGCCTCAGTCAGCGATTGCACGTGGGCCTCGACTTTGGCGGCATCCCACTGGGCGAGGAAGGTGAGTGTCTCGCCCAGGACATAGATGGACGGATGTGATGGATTGCCTCGTGTGAAGCACATGCCATCGTTGCGCGTCTCCAGAGCGCCAGTTGCCCAGTTTGGCCGCTCAGATGTGACTCTGCCCGTGGTGAGAGAGAACCAGCCGGATGTGACGGGTTGCCAATTGGGCTGCCGGGATCGGTTCCAGTAGGCAATGGCCGTCCCCGTGGCGCCGAGAAGCCACTTGTAGGCGACGCCAAAGGCAAAGTCGGCGATGGAGGCATCGATGGGACACCAGCCCGAGGCCTGGGAATAGTCCACCACGAGGAGAGCGCCAACACCGTCGGCGACTCGGCGATAATAGTCTAGATCGGCGCGGTTCCCGTCAAGGAACGAGACATGGCTAATGGCGATGAGGCGCGTCTTTGAGTTGGCAGCTTTAGCCAGGCCGGTGGCATCGGCGCAGCGAATCTCGGGGACGGGACCAGACTTGGCCCGCTGAGCCTTGAGCGCAAACGGCGCCGCTACACTGGGGAATTCGCGCGGGTCCAAGACGACGTTGTCGCCCTCGCGCCAGTCGATGGACTCGAGCAGTATAGAGATGCCCTCGGCGACGCTGCACACGAAGCCCACGTCGTCGGGCTGGACAGACCACAGCTTTGCAGCGAGTCCCCTGACCTTTTCGACCTCGGCGCCAATTCTGGCTCGGCCCTGAGCTCCCTGCGACTTGTCCGTGACATAGCGCTCAAAGCCTCTGCTGTGCTGGGCCCGCGGCGGGAGGCCCTCACCAGCGGTATGGAGATAGGTTACGCCAGACTCGGTGTGGAAGGCGCCCACCGGGAAGAGCGGAGTGGTTGCCATGGCCGGTTTGGGTACAAGTCTTTGCAGGTGGGTGTTGTTGGTGAGAGCTCGGAAGGTCTCGGTTCTTGACCGAGGTGGGGTTTTTATTGCTGGTCATCGGGGGAGTCACGGATCCGAGTGACTGGCCACGGCTGTTGGTTCCTACCGTGACGCACTTCAGTTGTCATGTCCTTCTCCACTCCTTCTAGCCAAACCAGGCGAGGTGCCGTTGCAGGTTTTGTTCCTTCTCGGAAGGTGATTCGGATTGAGACGCGGGCCGATGCAGTGCATCCGTAGACGGTAGGCTCGGCAACAAAAGGCAAGGACAATGTCAACAAGACCCACTGTTAGTGACGGACGCTACTTTGTGTGCCCAGACTAACACTTCGTCACCAACATCCATCGTGAGTCACAGATAAACACGGCGAATTCTCCTTCACTCTCGCATTTCAAACAACCCGCGCTTCATGTCATGATTGGCCAATGCTGCATTATCTATCTCGCCATCCATGTCGTTATTGATCATTGAAAGCTAAATCCTTTCCTTTGCGTGTCAACAGATGACATGGCTAGATGTTCATTGGAAGCAACAACTCCACGGCTGGAAACCCAATTCTTCTCCAGACTACTCATAGACATAACAGTAGGGGCCCTCGATGGTCGAGACAAACTCCCTGACAGGACGGGGCCCATCGGAGAGGACTTCGAAATTGATCAGAGTATCCAAGGTGACGTTGTCACTTGGTGGGACTAGGTGGGCAACAAGTGTTAGGTTGGTGGTGCAAACCAAGTGACCGAATCAAGTGTGACTTACTGTTTCCGATGGTGCCTGTTCCCCAGACCTGGTCGCGGCGCCCCGCGTAATCCTGACCCTGCCAGACACTCCACAGGTAGTCGATCATGCCGTGGTGAAGCCAGAAGATGGGGTCGCTTGGAGAGACAAAAGGGTCCAGCTGGATGCCGCCAAGTTGGAAATGGCCGTTGGTGTGCACGCCTGAGGCAGCGTCGTCGATGAGCAGGTTGAACTCGCCAAGGTCCTTGGCCGCAAGCACTTTGGTGAGGTTGCTAGGCCGGCTATTGCCGGCCATGAGCTTGCTGATATCGCGGTTGATGCAGCGCGGGTTGAAGCCTCTGCCGCCGTCGGGGCCCTGGGGCTCGAGGAGAACAGGGCCGAGATTCATCTTGTAGTCCTTGAAGGGTCCGTCCTTGAGACATCCACCGCCAGTGCCAGGGGGGATGATGACCTCTGGTGCATGGGGGAATTTCACAATCGAGTCGTTTCGATTGGGGATGTACTCCCCGTCGCTTCCGAAAGACGTGTCAGAGCCATCCAGCACAGCAGCCTGGAGCGGGTCCTTCCAGAACTTGGACCAGTCCCAGTAGGGAACTGGACCGTAGTAGTCGCATTCATCCTGCAGTGCCAGCGTGTACTGGTGGAGGTAGTGGCGGTGGAAAGCCAGGAAGAGACCGTCAAAGTGGATGGAGGGCGTCTGGAGCAGATGAGTGCCGACAAAGTCGTCGTACCGCGATCTGGCGCCAGGCATTGTCTCCCTGTCAAAGCCGGCATCAATGGTGTAGAGACACTGGACTGCCTTGATGTAGTTGAGCCTGTCCGTCTCTTCCATCCACTGCCTGGTGAAGTGTAATGGTACATTCCTGCGTCAGCCCTCTGGCTACATGTAGCTGAACTTTGCCCAGAAAACAAATTGAACCTACCAGTTGACACGCTTCTTGACAGTCTTCTCGTTGCACCAGCTTGTGCTGTTGATAAGTAGGCCATTCATGTTGCGACTGTAGGCGGCCCAATAGAGCTCGTTCTGCTTGTCGGCCTCCTGCTCAGGGTCCGTCTCGTCAGTGTTCCAGACTGCACCACGTATGGCGTCGATGCCCGTGGCCAGCGTCAAGAAGGCAGCGATGAGAGAGTGGAGCTTCATCATGTCGACGGGTAGTACTGCAAGGGGACAGGTTCAACTTGAGGACGAGTTGACGACAGGAGACTCCAGTTGTGAATTGAGTGTTGCGAGGAGGGAGAGATTCTGGTCTGCACAAAATCTGTGCATTATAAGTTGAGGCTGCTTCCATCTGGTGCCCGCTTGAAGGGAAACCCCGCGGGGGGTCCCGGTACTCTTACCGATCTGGCGGTCCCGGATTACGCGGTAGTAGCACGGGGTCTTGGGATGTTGAGATGAACAGTCACCAGGGCAGTGGTGACCTCCCCAGTTCCACTTTGATAACAAAGGCCCCTCACTGAAATGAGATTGAACCAGCCTGGAGCTCAAGGCGGGCCGAGGCAGTTGACCCGAGCATCAATGTCACC